GGCTGGCGGGGCAAGGGGGGTGCATTTGGAGAAAACAGTGAAAACAGCAAGCCGCACTGTGCACCTGGTAAAGGTCTAGTAAATATGCGCTGATGGAAAGCAGGGACCCACATGCTTTTCTCGAAGGACCGCCCTCCCGCTCCTGCAGCCCCACCCCTCCCGTCCCTGACTCTGTTTACTGCGGGCGAGATGGATGCGCTCAAATTAGGAAGGACCAGGACAGCGGGAGCCCGGCGTCTTCATCGGCCTGGATTCTCAGTAGGATGGGACTGTGTCCAAGGATTTGCTGTCCAAGCAGATACTTAGATGGTATCGCAGAGTTGGCACTTAATTACAGTTTTCCCTGCATTGTGCATTGTTGCTTCACAGATGTTAGTTTTGCTCCTCAGCTGCACGGTGAGGTCTTGCAAAACTTGTGTGATGGTCAGAGTGATTGGGAGCCCGCAGTCCCTGAGCAAGAACTTCTTGCTGGTTGATTTTCCCTGGATGAGGGGGTGTGCGTACCTCAGAAGTTCCCTGTGTGCTTTGAAAACGTCCAACTCTCAAACCGTAGGGTCAGTCTCCACACCTGTGTTTTTTGAAGAAGAAAGACTTTATATTAACTGCAACAGGAACTAAACTCAGGGCGGCCCCACAAAACCAGAATAAAGCCGGCTCAACATGCTCTCCCTTGAAGGCTACAAAGCCTGAAAGCTGAGGCCTGGCGCCCCTTCTGGAAAGCGGGGTGGGCGCTGGTTGGCTCGCCCCTTTTGCCCAGGCTCACTTTTCCTCCAGTTGCGGTGACATGCTCCCATCTAAACCTTGCTCTTCTCCCTGGAATTAATCACCGCTCAGTCTCCCTGCCTAACAGGTCAGAGCAGGATGTCATTACTCACAGCGCACTCGGTTACGGCATCGCTCCTCCGTCTCTAAGGTCCCTCGTTGGGGAGTTGAAGGGCGGGTGTTGAAGTCTGGATGGAGGGTTTCATTTGAGTTTCTCATAGTCTCACCTCTCGCAAGTGTCACTGACTTTGACCCAACTTCAGGTCTTCTGTTTCGCAGTCTTGGGGCCCACTCCCCAAGGGACTGCAACAGCTACTCATTACATGTTTGAATTTTTATACGGTAGTAAAATGGAAAGGGCCAACTCTTGTGAACAGAACGGTTTTACAAGAAGAACATGCCTGCAGTAAATAGGAGAGAATGATCCTGGACCCCCAGCACGGCCCCTGGGTCGGAGGTGTAGGCACTGAAGCAGAGGTGATACTGCTGGTGAGCTGCTGACAATTAAAGTTGCATGTGAACTGCCATGTGATCGCTGTGTGCACCTTGCCTGACCAAGCGCACGGCCAAGAAACATTCTCCCAGTGTTGATGTTTGAAAGGCAATCTGTTTTGTCACGTGCCCTGGGCAAAGAGTTGCTGTGGGATGTTCCATGCTGTGGGACGTGCCCTGTCTTACCAGAAAGCTTTCAAGCTTTCTAGGGTGAGTGAAATATGTTCAGGGGCATAGAAATAAAGCGGGGGGTGGGGGGGGCGGGGTAGGCAGGCCCCGGAAATATTTGCTGATTGTGTAACAAAACCGTAGCACACTTCTGTTATTGCAAATTAGACAAGGAAGAGGGCAGGGTTTGGAGAGAAAGCGAGTGTCTGGGGAAAGGGATGCCATTTGTCTCTGAGGACTCTGGAATTAGGGCTGAGTCTGTTGGCTGCGCAGTGTGGCTGTCTTCACCCTCTCCAGAATCCTAGATTTTTAAAAATAATCAAGAATTGAAATAAATAGAACAATGTGTTCTTTCTGACTGAGTGCCTGCTTTCACCAATGACAGAGAAATAAAAATATGACATGGTTTTTAGGCAGAGCGAATGTTAATCGTGCTCAGTGATGTTTGTGTTGAAGTTTGTATTTCCTCCTAGAAGACTTGAGAAGGGCCAAGCTGGAGCGTCTTAAATAGGGCTGTTGTTAGCCATGTCCAAAGACAAAAGGAGGGAAGGAAGGACAGACTCTCAAAAGATTTTTTCTTATATCTCAGGGAAAATGTTTACCTCTTTTAGGTACCGTTGGTAAGTTTTAAACAGGTTAAAATTTGATTGTTTCCCAAGAGCGGAAAGACAAACATTTAACAAAATAGAGCTCTTTACCTACAAAATATTTTTAACCCTTTCATCTTTTTTAGCGTGTGATTTGACAAACATTCACTACCCTTCTTTGATTTTCTTAAACATTCCACCTTCTCTGCCTGCTATTTCAGAGCCTTACAGAACTTGGCTCTTACCTCCGGAACAGCCGTATCTTTCACGGCCTGCATCCTTCTCCCCCTGGCCCTCTTCCCCAGGCCCTAGCTCCTGCCTCATTCATCTTAGAGTCCTCAGTCCAGCTCGGCCAGGGGCTCATCTCCTGGTCTGTACTCAAAGATGAGATCTCAGCCTGGAGAAACCCTCCCTTACATGTGTATCTGTTGATAACAAAACTTTGTTAGCCTCCAACTTCCTCATCCGTAAGGCCCATCTCACAGAAGCAACCCCGTATTTCTGATCTCCCTGATCAATAGTGCATGTGTGTGTATTCCACACTAGTTCAGAGCTCTTGGAGAACAGGCTTCATTTTATTCTTTTTTCTTGTAATCTTCATACAGCTTGAAAACAGTGTTGTGCAAATAAATGCTTATTAGTTTAACTGAACTTGATTCTAAAATAAAGTCTAAATCTGAATTAGAAACTAAAGCCGAACTACCTCCCCTTGACTTTTCTATCTCAGAAGAAAGCCACAAATTAGTCCTGGCCCCAAGAGTTATGACAGGCGCCTTACAATAAAATCAGTTCCTTTTGCTCACATGGCAGATTTTACCTGACATAAGGTATTGTCCAGGGTCTGGACAGTAGAGCCTGTAATTTGTCCATTTCTGCATGTAGAAAGTTTCCCTTCAAGATTCAGAATATCAAAGAAGCACTTTTGGTGTGACAGCTTCTTGGAGGCATTGAGAGAGAAGGGATCCTTTCTTTTTGGAAACCCAATGGCTAACCTCTGGAGATGTGGTCTTTATCTCTTCATGAATGCCCTATACAAGCACCTCAATGCAGGCTGAAAAAGCTGCTGTAGCCCTGGCCAGTGTGGCTCAGTTGGGTCAAATGTCCTACCGTGCACCCGAAGGTCAAGGGTTCAATTCCTGGTCAGGGCACATACCTAGGTTGCAGGTTTGATCTCTGGCCAGGGTGCATATAAGAGGCAACTAATTGATCTCTCTCTCTCTCTCTCTCTCTCTCCCTCTCTCTCTCTCTCTCCCTGTCTTTCTCTCTTTCTCTATCTCAGAAAAAAAGCTGCTGCAGGCATTAGAAGTAACCCTGGAACACAGTAAATGATCAATACCAGTTTTCTGATTGGAGAAATGAGGCATTGAAGCACGGTGGATTCAGAATATCTAGGTCCAGTGTCTCCCTCCTCCAGTTACGACCTATGATAACCTGGGCGACAGTTGATGTAACCTTTCTCTGAGGCCAGGTTCCTCAGTTTTAAAATAGGGATGACAGGCATTTCCCTCCTGGGGTTGTTGTTTGGATTGAATGGGGTCATGTAGGTGAGGTGACTAGCAGAGTGTGTAGCTCCTCAGTAGAGATTTGCTATTCTAATGCAGGTCACACTGTGAGAGGGACATTCATGTCAGGTGGGTCCTCTCTCACAGGAGAAAAGTCTGGTTTCCGGTTTAGAGTAAGTTAAAGAGAAGCCATCTGGCCTCTGCCCGCTTGCCTTTTGTTTTTGTTTCTACTTGGCATTGCAGGTCTGGCAAAGTTACTTTTCCTCATCTTCATGGTCTATATTGTGGTTTTCTATTAGGAATAGCAACAGACTTATAAGTATAAACACTTTAAATCAGTAATTAAAAGGATGAGATTTATGTAATGAAAATTTGGCAGGTAATCATTTGGGGACAATTATTATTGAAAGGTGTATAAAGTCTCAGTACAGACCATATGACTAAAGTGAAGAAGTAAGTTAAAGTCCAGAGGGGTGTGGTAGAAAACAGAAGGTGGGGTATGGAAGGAAGTGGTGGAGGGCGTTTTAAGGGGGAGGTGTGGTGGCTAATAGCTTTGTGGTGCTTTGTTGGGGAAATGGGAAGGTGAAGAAACCTGCTAAGTCAAACCCAGGAGGCACTTTCCAACTGAAGAAAACTGTAGGAGGGTATCTATAAAACTACAGGCAAAAAAGCAGTGGGAACTTGTTAATGGAACACAACTACGAAGTCTGTCGGGAAGCCTTCACTCTTCCCGGCCTTCATCTCAGGGCACTCTTGGTGCCTTTGCTTTCTACTGAGAGGCATCTTCCACGGTGGTTAAGCCAGCCAAGTGTGCTTTGTTCCTCATTTGCTAAAATTTCCACACTTCTGAATTTAGAATCATTTCCACAGTTCTCGATTATACTTTCATGCACATGTTCAGGTCAAGAACATTTTCTGATCTAGTGGAGGTTGCTAATTGACTTACAAACACAAGTTAGATAAAAATTCATGAAGGTGAGGCTCTTAGACAAATCACTTTTGGTATTCGGCCGATCAGAAAGAAAAATCAAGTCTGGAATGTATTTTAGATTATGTTGTACTTTTATAGTTGTGCTCCGCGCTGGCAAAAGATTTCACAATAATTGTTTACTCTGTTGCTCCTCTAAAACCTTAAAACAGCCCATTTTATACTTGGGTAAACAGAGGTATACATAAGAGTTAAAAAGAAAGTCATCCTTGAACTTAGATTATCAAAGTCTAGGGTTACAGTGCACCACTGCAAAGTATTTAGCCTGTTACCAAGACGACCTTTTAGAAAGCACTTAAAAACTGGGGCCATTGCTCTAGCCAGTTTGTTCAGTGGATAGATCATCGGCCCAAGGACTGGAGGGTCCCAGGTTCAATTGCAGTCAAGGGCACATACCTCAGTTGCAGGCTCTGGCCCTGATGAGAGAGGCAACCAAGTGATGTGTTTCTCTTACATCAATGTTTCTCTGTCTCTCCCCCTCCCTTCCACTCCCTAAAAATCAATGGAAAAAAATATCCTTGAGTGAAGATTAACAAAAAAAAAAGATTGGGGGCCACTGATGCAGAATTTGAAATGATCTTTAAAAACTGACTGGTCTAGACCTTGCTAGACACTAGGCACGTATAGGAGGAAGGAGAAGTCTCCTATGATGACTGTTATTGGAAGAATGGGCAGGACAGTTCAGTTAGTTTAGCTAATTCATGTTGTTCCAAGTGGTCTGTATGTTCATGGTAGTCCTCAAATCTTCAGACCTATGAATAAAGTGGAATAAGTGATTTACACATATTCTCTCATTTAATCCTTGCAACAATAACCCTATGGTATAGGTCTTACCTTCTTTTACTGATAATGGAGAGTAAGTCTAACGGGAACTAGAAGAACTTGCCTCGGATCACACAGCAAATGATGAAACTGAAATTTTAGCTGGAAGTCTTAATGGTTTAGTGCTTATTTTAAAGATTATTTCTGTTATATGTCAATTTTAAAAATACATTAAAAATAAATAGCCAACACTGCTACTTTTTCAAGCAAAAAGAAGGACACAAAGTTGCCCATAATTCTACCACCCACAGATATTCTATCAAGTTTGTAAACAGCCCAGCCATTATGGCTCAGCGGTTGAGCATCGACCTATGAACCAGGAAGTCACATGCCTAGGAAGTCAATCCCCAGTAGGGGGCATGCTGGAGGCAGCAGATCAATGATTCTCTCTCATCGTTGATGTTCCTATCTCTCTATCCCTCTTTCTTCCTCTCTGAAATCAGTAAAACATATATATCTTTAAAAGATTGTAAACAGATCAACTCTTTTATTCCTGGGCTCCCAAAGAAATGAAACTTATAATGAGAGGATTCAAATCAGTCCTAATCAATCAAGCAGTAAGATCAAGGCTTCCTGTCCTGTGCCTCGAAGAAGGAATTGACAATGATTCCAAGGGATTTATTTGTTTTGAAGACATTTATTGAGCCAGGTATGTCCTAAACAGTATGCCAGCTATTAAGTTGTGCCAATGAGTCCACCCTTAAAGAACTATAAGGCAGCGGTTCTCAGATCTGACTCATGTTAAAATCTGGGAGGTTTTTAAAAAATGCCGATGGCTGGGCATCCAGAATTCTCAAAGCTCCTTGGGAAATGTGCAGCCGTGGCTGAGAACCAGTGATGTGAGGAACGGGGAGATGACATACAAAGCAGTGTCCAGAGAGCCTTGAGTGTTGTGGTACAAAGATTGTCAGCGCCCGCAGTCTCCCAGGGCGAGGAAGCCTAAGAACGAGGCCTTGATGAATGGGCAGGATTTTAAGAAAAAGATGGAGTGGAAATAGGGAAGTATATTCCAAACACTATTCAGAACTGTTGTCATGATTTCTTTGGTTGGTAAGGATGAGGTATTTGAGGTATTGGTAGGTTGTTTTATAAGAATAAATTGTTATGAATATTCCAGGTCCTTTGATATCACTAATAACTTTTTATCCTTCTTTGCCTATCAGGTCTACAATGAAATTTATCCAGTATGGACTTACTCTTATCTGGTGCTGCTGTTTCCTGTGTTCCTTGCCACAGACTACCTCCGTTACAAACCCGTCATTCTGCTGCAAGGGCTCAGCCTTATCGTCACATGGTTCATGCTGCTCTATGCCCAGGGACTGCTGGCCATTCAGTTCTTGGAATTCTTCTATGGCATCGCCACAGCCACTGAAATCGCCTATTACTCTTACATCTACAGTGTGGTAGACCTGAGCAGGTACCAGAAAGTCACAAGTTACAGTCGAACTGCCACCCTGGTGGGCTTCACAGTGGGCTCTGTCCTAGGGCAAATCCTCGTCTCAGTGGCAGGCTGGTCTCTGTTCAGCCTGAATGTCATCTCTCTTACCTGTGTTTCTGTGGCTTTTGCCGTGGCCTGGTTTCTGCCTATGCCACAGAAGAGCCTTTTTTTCCACCATGTTCATTCTACCTGCAAGGGAGTGAATGGTATCAAGATACAAAATGGTGGTATTGTGACTGACACCTCAGCTTCTAACCACCTTCCCGGGTGGGAGGATGTTGAGTCAAAAATCCCTCTAAATGTGGAGGAGCCTCCCATGGAGGAACCGGTAAGTCCAACTTTGAATGTCTTGTGGCTGCTACTCGGGGGCCAGGCCAGCAGTGAAAAAACAGACAGGAAACCCCCTATGCTAGGCCTTGTATTCACGTGGACTCAGGTTTTATCCTGAGTTGGATGGAGGTTCATTCATTCATTGATTCAAGATAAGGTTGATGTAAATTAGGAATGACAAATGTGTTTTCCTCTGGAGTGAATGACCTTCAAGGTTGGACTGGCACAACATTCTATTGCTTGTGTCAGAGATGTTTTAGAAGCCACAGTAAGGGCTCTCTCTTCTTTCATCTTTCAATCCCCAGAACTTGGCATATAAATACAGCACTCAGAAAATTTTTGCTAAATGAATAGGTGAAATGATTCCAACAAATGATGAATATCTACTTCCAGTTTCTCACTTGAAGCCAAAGTGTTTATGGATAGGAATTACTATCCTCTTCTGTGCTGGAAATTTTACTTTGCCGAAGTGCATAGTAATGAATAATACAGGAGATGAGGATCCAAAGGAATATTTAAGAAGATGAAATAATGTTAGAAGTGTGACTATGAAATTGTTTCTTAGCTGAGGTATGCCATCCAAATAATTCATCCATCCATTCTCTCTAGCCAGGAAGACTCACTGCCTCCCCCAGTCAGTCACCCTTTAATATGAGTTTATCTTTCTGTCAGGTTATAAGCTATGAGAGGCAAGATTCATTTCAAACATACTGAATTAATCTTAGTTTTCTTGGGAGGTGTTTGTTAATAAGCCTATTAACATTCCATCTTTGTAGACGGTTCTGTCAGGCATAAAGCCAAGCTCCGTATGCTTTGTGGGCCGGCTGAGAGTAAAGGACCAGCATGAATAGAGCCTGGCTCTCCACCTGGAGTTAATCCAACTTGTTTCAACGTGGCATCTAATGTCCTCATCGAAAATTACTCTCTTTCGCCTTCCCCCATTCTTCACTCTGGTTACTCGTTGAAATGTAGGTTATCATCCCAAAGAGCTTGGGTCACACTTTAGAGCCTGGGTGACACTTACCATAAACTCACTTTGACTATTAGGGCAGCTTCAGTCAGAGTTACCAGGAACTAAGTAGAAATGAAACGCTGGTTCCATCAGTTTGTTAGGTGATGCCAGAGACTCAACAAAGAGTTGATGAGGAAGGGAAAGGAGTACGAGTGGTTGTTTGATAGATCTCATGTAGAAAAAAGAATAAGAACCTTTTAAAAATCTGTCTCAAATGTGTCAAAATGGCTTTAGCTAAGATTAATATGTACATACATATCTATAATACATGTATATTTTTAAAAATGTTAACATATTGACCATAGTTCTAAAGAATTTTATAGACCAGTTAAGTTTTAAACTTTTTTGAATATGAATAGGAAACTACTTAGTAAGAAACATTTTACATAGCAACCAGTACACAGGTGTGTGTGTGTGTGTGTGTGTGTGCGCGCGCACATGCGTGTGTGTATATACACACACACACACACACACACACACACACACTAGAGGCCCGATGCACAAAATTTGTGTAAGCAGCCTCAGCCCTCGCAGCCCCGGCTGCCTTGGGGGCTTCGTCCAGAAGGTTGTCTGGATGGTCATTCTGCTGTTTGGTCTAATTAGCATATTAGCTCTTTATTATAAAGGCTATATTTGTGTTTGTGTATGTGTATATACATATACACATACACACACACATATACTTTTTATGTAACTGAAACCATGGTTTTTAAAATACATTATTCTGACACATTCCATTCACTTTATTTTTTATCATGTGATCGTTGCTCACTAAATTGATTTTATTACCTACTAATGAGTTGAAAACTAGTCAATTAATGAGTTGAAATCTACAGTCATAGAGCAACTTGATATTTGTTGTTTATAGATAGGCAAAGTATGAATACTTGACATGCTGAATAATTAGAGTTAAAAGTGATTCAAACCACAAGTCTTAGAATAATAAGAGCATCTTAAAGTTACAAGGGACATTAGATCTCATCAACCCTCTCATGTTAGAGAAGAGGATCGGGATCAGAGATCGTGGCTGTAGAATTAGACAGATATACTCCTAAACATAGTGAAGAATATACGGGAGAGTCACTTCACCCTATACTGTGCTCCATGAAGTCTTTCACTGGGAGACAACAGTCAGAGCCATCATGTTGGTTACAGTGTGGTGAAAATTAGGGTTCAAGCCATACCATGATGTCCTTGGCTTTGCTCCTGGCACCCCAACAGGCAGGCAGTGCTGCTTGGCGCTTACAGCCCTAAAATACTGCTTTTCTTTGACAAGCCTGAAGGAAAGTCAAAATATGGATGGTGGAGATTGCACTGTCATTTTAAGTTGACAAAGCTCATAACTGAACCATAAGTTGAAGTAATTATGGTAAAGAAGAATATGTAGGTAGGTTGGTGGTTTGATCTTGATTTTATAGTAAGGGAAAATGGGCTAGCAAGTGACAGGGTATCGAGAAGTAATGATTGGTAAGAGTACTGAATGGCTTCTGAAAGCTATTGTCTGAGTTGAGACCTGAGTAACATAAAGGAACTAGCCATGAAAATCAGAAAAAAGTGCAGTCCTGACTCATAGAACCATATTTTGACAAATAATAAGTTTGTCAAACTTATTCTCAAAAGTTCCCATCGTAGCCATTGATTTGACTATAGATAAATTTCCCTTTGCACAACTGAGCTCAGTAAAGAGTGGCCTTTAACTTGTAAAGACTTAATTATACCCTTTCAAGGTTCTATTTAAAGGAAAAGAGGCTACACAAAATTAACTCAAACTGGATTAAGATTTGAGACAGTAAGACCCGAAACATTAAACTCTTCAAAGAAAACAAAGGCAGTAAGCTTCATGACATTGGTCTTGGCAATGATTTTTAAACCTGACACCAAAAGCAAAAGCAAGAACAGCAAAAATAAGTGGGTCTGCATCAAACTAAAAAGCTGCATAGCAAAGGAAACAGTCAACAAAATGAAAGAGCAATCTACTGAATAGGAGAATATATTTGCAAATTATATATCTGACAAGGGGTTAATATCCAAAATACATAAAAAACTAATACAACTCAATAGTAAAAAAGAAAAATCCAATTAAAAAACAGGCAAAAGATCTGAATAGATATTTTTCCAAAGAAGACATGCACGTTACTAACAGATACAAGAAGAGATGCTTCTAATCACCAGGGAAATGCAAACAAAACCACACACACCTGTTGGAATGGTTGTTCTCAGAAAGATAATAACAAGTACAGTGGGGCCTTGTCTTACGAGTGTCCCGACTAATGAGTTTTTTGAGATACCAGCTGTCTCTCGGCCAATTTTTTGCTTTGAATTGACAGAGTAATTTGAGTTAACAAGCTCCTTAACGAGCTCGGTCTCAGTGTCTCAGAATGAGTTAAACTCGTAAGTCAAGGCCGCGCTATATTGGTGAGGATATGGAGAAAAGGAAACCCTTTGTCACTATTGATAGAAGTGTAAATTGAACATTCATATGATCCAGCAATTGTACTTCTGGGTATTTATCTGAAGAAAACAAAAACACTAACTCAAAAAGATATCTGCACCCCCATATTCATGGTAGCATTAGTTAAAATAGCCAAGATAAGGAAACAACCTACATGTCCGTCAATGGATGAACCAATAAAGAAAATGTGGTGTATAATAATAAAAAATTATTAGCCATAAAAAATGAGTTCTGCCCTGGCTGGGTGATTCAATTGATTGGAGCTTTGTTCTGTGCACCAAAAGGTTGCAGGTTCAGCTCCCAGTCAGGGCACCTACCTTGATTGCCTACCCGCGGTTCTCAACCTATGGGTCGCGACCACTGAAAATACATCCTGCATATCAGATATTTATATTACAATTCATAACAGTAGCAAAATTACAGTTATGCAGTAGTAACGAAAATAATTTTATGGTTGGGGGTCACCACAACATGAGGAACTGTATTAAAGGGTCGCGGCATTAGGAAAGTTGAGAACCACTGTATCCGATCCCTGATTGGAGAAGGTAGCCAATTGATGTTTCTCTCATACATCAATGTTTCTCCTTTCCTCTCTCTCTAAAAACTAAATACATAAACACATCCTTGTGTGAGGATTAAAGGGAAAAAAAAGAATGAATTCTTGCCATTTGCAGACAACATAGATGGACTTCAAATATATTATGCTACGAGAAATAAGTCAAAAAGAGAAAGACAAATACCATACGATCTCACTTATATTTGGATTCTCAAAACAAAAAGCACACACACACAACCAAAAACCCAAAAGCTCACAGATATAAAGAACAGATTGGGATTGGGCAGTAGGAGAAATGGGTGAAGGAGGTCGAAAGGTACAAACTTCCAGTTATAAAATAAGTCCTGGGGCTACAGTGTTCAACATGGTGATGACAGTATTGCATATTTGAAAGTTGCTAATGAAATAGGTCTTAAAAGTTCTCATTACCAGAAAATTTTATAACTATGTATCAAGAGTTTATTCTTGTATTATTATTTATTGTTATTTTCCATATGAACAACTGCAAACCTACTTTTGCCCCACCCTGTACATATTTTTCACAAAGGAAAAGAGTAACACCTGTTAAGTTAAATGTTGAGCCTATACAATTGCTCCTGTCCAGTTGCCTTCGAGATGGGTGAGCTTTCTTCCCTTTGGTTTGTAGGAGCCCCAGCCAGACCGGCTCCTTGTGCTGAAGGTCCTGTGGAACGACTTCTTGATGTGCTACTCCTCCCGCCCGCTGCTCTGCTGGTCGGTGTGGTGGGCCCTCTCCACCTGTGGCTATTTTCAAGTGATCAACTACACACAGGGCCTGTGGGAGCAGGTGATGCCTTCTCGCAATGCTGCTATCTATAACGGAGGCGTGGAGGCCGTTTCCACCTTACTGGGTAAGCAGTGCTGCATTAGGGATGGTTAGGAGGGGGATTCCTCTGGTAGTCATCAACCATTATCAGGTTTTCTCTCCTCTCCCAAACTTGAAGTAACTCCAAAGAATGACTTACTTACTTTGAGCTCTGATGTTATAATTCAGTGGTTCTCAACCTTCTGGCCCTTTAAATACAGTTCCTCATGTTGTGACCCAACCATAAAATTATTTTCGTTGCTACTTCATAACTGTAATGTTGCTACTGTTATGAATCGTAATGTAAATATCTAATATGCAGGATGGTCTTAGGCGACCCCTGTGAAAGGGCCGTCCGACCGCCAAAGGAGTCGTGACCCACAGGTTGAGAACCGCTGTTATAATTCATGTATATTAACTTAGTCCTTACAAAATTCCTGAGATAGGTGCAGTTGCCATCCCATTTTACAGTTGAGGAAACCATGGACAGATAGGTTACTAACTTGCCCAAGGTAATGAAGATGGTAAGTAGTGAGGTTAAGATTTGAACTCAGAACTGGTGCATTGACCGCTTTATTCTATTGTCCCTTTCTACTTTGTTGACAGGCCTCATAAAGGTTTTCACATGATTTCTGTAAACACTTATAACTGCACCTGGCACTTAGGAGCACTCCGTAGATTTTAGCTGTCATTATCATTGTCATTTTCCCAAAGGGCAGGGATGCCCTGTTGCCATGTTCTCAGTGGCTCCTCGGGGAGGAGGAGAGGCCCTGTCCTACCACGGCTTACCGGGAGGAGCAGTGGTTCTTCTGGACATTGCCTCTGCCTCAGCCGCATTTCTTTAGCAGCCTCCCTGGAGCTGTGGCCTCCTTTCCCATCTCATTGCCAGCCACCCTGATTCAGTCTCTCATCCTCACACTGGCTCCATAGCATTTATTCCATCAAGTCCAATTCTCTGCCTCCCTTTCAAGGCCCTCCCTAATCTTGAGCACCCTCTATATAAGTTCACAGCTTTAAAATGGAATAATCTAAGCTGATTTAAATTTTTTTAAATAGTCTTTATTTATTTTTCTTGTCATTCTGCAGGTGCTGTCGCCGTTTTTGCAGTTGGTTACATAAAAATATCCTGGTCCACTTGGGGAGAAATGACACTGTCGCTGTGTTCTCTCCTGATTGCGGCCGCAGTGTACATCATGGACACCGTGGGTAACATTTGGGTGTGCTACGCGTCCTATGTTGTCTTCAGAATCATCTACATGTTACTCATCACTATAGCAACGTATGTATTTTATTCAAAGAAGCATTAGGAAAAGTTGTGATTGGATAAACCTTTTGATTTCTTTACAAAGAAATTAAATTTTCTAAGTAAGAGAGGCAAATGGGAGAAAGCACTGTATTGTTTGTTTTCTCCTAAGGAAGCATTTCGGCAAGGTTCATTTAATTCCTCGTTCACGTGTCCCCACTGTTTCCAGATTTTGCATGAGATTTAAGTCATTTAGCAACAAAATACTTTTCACTTAGTTGGGAAGGTGATTGACAGTAGAAAGAAGGGGGTACCCTTCCCATTTAAATTAAAATTTTAACTACCCAGGAAGAAATTCTTATCTATTTGTTCTTTATTTGTTAAGTTTTCAGATTGCAGCAAACCTCAGTATGGAGCGCTATGCCCTAGTGTTCGGTGTCAACACCTTCATTGCTCTGGCCCTGCAGACGCTGCTCACGCTCATTGTAGTCGATGCCAGTGGCCTTGGCTTAGAAATCACAACTCAGGTAAGAGCTGTTTTGCACTGAAGAAGTTACACCTTGATCAGGGTGGCATGCCTAATGAAAAGAAATTCAAACAGCCCAGTGGTCAGCAAACTGTGGCTTGTGAGCCACATGTGGCTCTTTGGCCCCTTGAATGTGGCTCTTCCACAAAATACCATGTGCGGGTACGCACGTACAGTGTGATTAAAACTTCGTGGCCCATACGCAGAAGTCAGTATTTTGTGGAAGAGCCACACTCAAGGGGCCAAAGAGCCGCATGTGGCTCGCGAGCTGCAGTTTGCTGACCACTGGTATAGACTGACGTCACATAAAAAGTAACGGCGTCCCCTCCTGTCAGTCCTCCGCCTCTGTAGTTCTTTGCTACCTGGAGCATGTTGGGGACAATCCTGCCTTACCTCACAGCTAAGTCTCCTCCCTTCTTTATTTAATCCCCCCCCCCAGATACCAAGGTAATGACTTGCTGTTGATGAATAGCATTCTGACTCTTAACACACGACCTATTGAGAAAACACCTGTACAAACACCCAAGACTATGTGAACACATTTCTTCATTGAGGGATCGAATGGTTGCATATGCCTTCAGGCATTGTGAGCCTATAGGTAGGGTTTGCTCTGTACTTTGGCAAAACAGGCGATTAAATCAAAAAGTGCCCCCTCCAGGCCAGAATATTGCTTCTCCATTATTCTTACACATTAGTTTTCTTAGAATAGAAAGACCCAACATATCAGCAGTAATTAACTGTATTTTTATGGATGAGGTCTAAGAGAAATCATAATAATAGGTAATGTGTGCTGAGCGCTTTCTATGTGCCAGGTACTTAAATAGGATTTTGTAGAGTTGTCAGGCTTAGAATGGAGAAAAGAATCTGAGAGTTAAGTAATGTTGAGTGTTAAGGTCACCGAGTCAACAATAGTGGCGCAGAGCTAGGACCTCAACCAGAATCTAACTCCGAAGCCTGCTTGCCTTGCACTGCATTTGCCTCAGAAAGGTGGAGGGGGGAGCAGAGGAGGGGAGCTTATTACTTTCTGTTTCCCAGTTACTACTGGCAGTAGAAACCTCAGAAGACCTTGCAAGAGTGAGGAGCTTCATTAAGGATGGAGGGTAGGACAGAAACTAGAACCTGTCATCCTGCTATAAAGATATGGATTTAAACATATGGGATAATAGAAATTTGTGGGCTGTGCTGAACCTGTAGCTGCAATGATTAACAGATTTCCTACAGGAAAACGTATCCAATCTTTTAAAAACCTAGTTCAAAGACTTAGAGCTACTCTCTTATTGAACCCATGGACCAGCTTACATGTATTTAGTAAGTTATTTTAAGAAGAATATAGTGGTGACTATGTTGCTAACCTATATAGCCACATTAAAAAGTCGGCTTAGAGAGGATCCATAAAAAATGTAATCCTATAATGGAATATACAGGGTGGGGCAAAAGTAGGTTTATAGATACACAGTTTATTCATTATTATTATGTATTAATTATTGTATTATTTTCCGTAAAACAACTATAAACCTCATTTTGCCCCAATCTGTAGTTGACCTTCTACTGCCCTCTTCTGGGGAAGAAGCAAAGTTCTTGATCTTCAGAACTTGGCGTGTTAGTCATACCCAGGTGCCAATCTGCCAGCTTGAGGCTAGAGACCATGAGTCAGTGACAACAACAAAATTACCAACAGTAGTATTAACAGCATCGCCATGGCGCTAATAAACATTTACATGCATGATGTCATCCCTTCCCAACAACCCTGTAAAGTAGGAAATACAAATTCCATTTGGTAAGTGAGGTTAAGGTTCAGAGATTAGGTATCTCAATCAACATCACACAGCTGGTCAAGGATGTCATCAGGATTCACACTTAGGCATCCAGGCTTCTGTACCTCCACACCTGCTGCCTCTGTGTTTTCAGTGCCTGGCCCATTGGGTAAACACACTATTTTTTAAAGTTTCATTGAGAAACTGAATTCCTTTTCATTATAGAGTACGTTTTCATGCGTGTAATACAACAGCTCTTCTTATTAATAATCCTCTACATGACTTGTTTCCCCCTTCAGTTCCTGATCTACGCAGGTTATTTTGCACTCATCGCTGTGGTTTTCCTGGCTAATGGTATAGTCACGATTATGAAGAAATATACAAAGCAGGAAGATCCAGAGTCAAGTTCTCAAGTAACCACTTCATAATATACTACTGACAAGCTTCTTATAGCAAGAACTCCGCACAGCCACAGTCCCTGGATGTATTTAATTTGTTAAGGTGTAGAACATATATTTATGAATGTGCATTTCATGGCTTCAAAGCAGCCAATTGACTATACCTGTGTTTCTGGCGTAACATGATCATGTTCAGAGGAACAGAAGGAAAGTTTGTTTATTTAAGGATGACTTTTTTCTGATTCAAAAGTGAACTTGATTTTGAAAACCAAATCATCGTGAGCAGTCAAGCAGCACATGGTGTTGTATACTTGATAGCAAGTGAGCTGGATGTCTCATAGGTCAAGTACTCCTACAGCTGATGAGACAGAAGCTTGAGACCAAGGTCTCACAGGGGCACCGATGTTACAGGTCAAAATAGGAATATGTTGTAACAGCACCTGTCTCTGTACAACTTAATTCTTATTTTGTGTTACTCATGTGCACTTGTGTTTCTACAGATGAAAGTTGTCCTATCACAGGCAATATTTGCTCTGGTTTGGTGTCCTGTCCTATAAGGAGTATGTGTTATTTCTAATAAGTTATGTTTAAGAATTCATTGTATGAATGTTCCCATCTTGCGAATTATGTATTTGTGTGGATTTTTGTTTGAAGTATATGTTTGCGTTATTCTATGCTTCCCAGAGAAGCTCATTTAGTTAGAAAATAAGGCAAGTTTTGAAGCCTGCTAATAAGCAGTGAAGAGACCTAATCAGAAAATGTAGGTAGATTTCCTCGTCTTTTATTCCTCAGTGGGAAGGACTGTTAATTCCATGATGAAAAGTTAAAATATGGGCTAAAGACACAACTAGCACGGTAAGCGCCCAGCCTGTTTTGTCTTCCGGGCGGAAAGTATAGTGTCAGTCACCAGTGACTGACATGGCGCTTACTGTGCGAGCCCACTCTGTATTTGCATTCCCTTTTATTTCCAAAATAAAATGACACAGTCTTTTTCAAATAACTTCACCTCCATTTATAACTTTTATATTTGTCCTTCTTATCCAAGATAAGGTTGTCATTAGGAGTTGGATTCCAAGGCCTTTTCCACAAACTGAGCCTCTTTTCATTGATTTTAATGGGACAGGAACCAGGATAGATACGATTCCTGCACTTTGTACATTAAATCTGCCTTTGCTCTAAAGGTGGGTCATCTTTAATATTTGCTTAAAATAACAACTGCTAGTGATTCCAGTTCCAAGGTACTTGAAAAAAAATATTCTGTATACATTTATACATTAACAAATCAGCCTGCCTACCAAGTGGCTGCTGGAATATGTGAGACGTGAAGAGGACTTTAAAGCCAACTTTGTTGCCTTATCTTGAAAAGAACCTTGGTAGCTGCTTTCATCTGGGGGTGTTAATATTTTTCGAGTGACACAGCTAAACTGAATAATAGTGTCAAGATTGCAAAATTGACAGATATATTTGGTTTAAGCAGGAACTCTAAAAGTAAGTGAATAGAATAAGAATAGGTCATTTTCCATTCAACATCTTTTTGGATAGAGGGAAAGGAAAAGAACACTAGCTATGGAAGGGAAGAGGACATGATGTCTTAAAGTAACAGCCTGTAATTTTATATTTTATCTTTTATTTTGCTACATAGGGAATTGTTTACTCAGAAACAAATAGTAGAGTGGTACTTGAGGGATTTTATTTAATCTTTTTAAATAAAATGAACTGTTGTATAATCAAAGTGTTCATGTTACCAAAGCACTATCTCCCTGGAATTTAATTTGAAGTCTGTGGCACACACCTGGAGCCTTTACTTATTAAGACAGTAATAGGTGCACGTCTTGGTGGGTGGCCATGTTTGCAGAATGCTGAACACTATTTGCCAGTTGTACTGTATGCAGTTTTGCAAAGTGGAAATAATTTGTTGTACTTTTTATTCAATTCTGTATAGCTTATAAAATTATTTTTATTAAATAAATATTTTACAGTATATTTCCCTTTTTAAATCAAAATCATTTAAAATTTATCTTTTGCTTCAGTGGGACCTTTGTATTACATCTTTAAATCTTTTAATAATTTCTCATAAGACAGATTTCATTTTAAGCCTTCCCTCACCTGACCTTCCTAATTAACCTTGATGTCTTGTTAATTCTTCCGTTGTTTAGTGGTCTTTACCTTTGACTCTTCCCCTTATGTCTGTTGTTTTCCTAATTTTTTTCTAGCACTGCATTGCACTGTTCATTTTTCTTGATCTTAATCTTGATATCGCTCATCTCTGTTTTTAAAGCATTCTCCCTTTTAGAAACCGAAAAGGCCCACATTCCCTTCGGTGTTAATTGAATTTTTAAAATAAATGAAATCAATTCAAGGGCAGAAGCTACCATCTTGTTCTGAAACCTCTTAGCTTCTTTGTTCCCGCCCAGAATTTTCTGATACCCAGGGAAACATCTTCCTGCCATCCGTCATCATGTCCCAGAAACAAACCCATCCTTTCTTACAACAAATGAGCACCTTCCCTTTAATACCCGCTTCCAAAACCTGCTTCATTAAGGCATTCCATTGATTATCACCAAAGACTTGGGAATTTTTCATGGAAACAAAATTTTTTAAATTAAGTTTTCTATTCCTATATATCCCTTGTATCTGTAGGCCTTTCCGATTGTATGCCTTCTGTGCAGGGATCCTGTCTTATTTTTGTCTTTTGTTCCAGAACACATCCTAGTGCCACATGAATATTTATAATAATAAAAGGGTAATATGCTAATTAGAACAAACGACCTTCTGGACGAAGCCGGGGCTGCAAGTGAAGCCCAGGTCCCGGGTGCCAGAGGGAAGCCGGTGCCAGCAGCCGGGGGGAAGGAAGGCCTACTCTTGCATGAATTTCATGCATCAGGCCTCTAGTTGAATTATATAAGTGATATGCAATGGGCTCAATATAGCCACCTGCCAGTGCAATAGCTAAATCCCATTATTTTATAAAACATTAAGATTAAAATGATTACAAATAATCTCTAGTCCATGGACATTTTATTCAAGGCATTGTGCTTCAATGATAGAAACGGGATACTATTTTACTTAATCATGGCATCATAATTACTACCTTACATTTATATAACACAATTTAGTTTGGAAAAGGTGTTTTTGGACATCATCTCCTTTGATTCTGGAAAAGGATCTTGTAATCTAATTTCTTCTTTTTTTTTTCATTAATATTGATGGGAGGGAGTTCAAAATGCTAGGTTTTTAAAGAGTACATCATTGCCAACTTCCTCATACTTTTGATCAGTATTTCTACGATCCTTCTGTATTCCTTGATCGGAACTCAGGCCAATTATGGTTGAGACCCTGACAGGAACATTTTCTGCTGACTAGGAGAAATCAAATAGTTGCCACCTATCATAAGCTTTGAATTTCTCTGGAGTTATGTTTAGTTAACTCCCCCCTTCCCTGCCCCCAATATAAACTTCAATTAATGGAGCAGGTCTGCAAAATATCTCAACAAACACAAAAATATGAAAATACTCTGTCTGGACAGGTTAGAAGAAATGGATGATACGCTTAACTTGCCCAGCGATGGTAGTGATTTTAATAGACATGTTGGTTCACAGGTCGTCTTGCAGTGGTTTTCACCGTATGTCTGTGATATCTCAGAGGCAATTGGGATAGATTGCATTGTTATGCCCCTCCCCACCTGGTGTGTTTTATGCCAGAGATTCTGAACTACCTAAAGATCCTGGAGTAAACTCGATGGGCCCTCACAAATGCCACCGTCTGTCTGTGTGCAGTGCCCTGCCTGCCCTCTTGCAGTTTTTTCATTCTTCAGAAGTCAGCGCTGACATCAACACTCTGCAGAAGTCTTTTTATTGTCACCTTTTGCTAATCCTTTTTTTTTTTTTTAGCTAAATGCACCTTTGTGCACCACCCTGTGCTCTCTCTGTCCAACCCCATCTTCTTTTAAAGTGTGTGAACTCCTTCATGCAGATACAGTGGGGCCTTGACTTATGAGTGTCCCAACTAACGAGTTTTTTGAGATACGGTCTCTCAGCCAATTCTTTGCTTTGAGTGGCGAGCTAAAATTCAGGTTATGAGCCAGCTTCAGATACCCCACCGCTAGTTGGCGCAGCGAACGTCACAGTGAACGCCACAACATCAGCCCAGCATCACGTGTCTCACTCGTTCACAATTGATTTGACATACAAGTAATTTGAGTTACGAGCTCCGTCACGGAACAAATTAAACTCGTAAGTCAAGGCCCCACTGTATTAGAAATTAGTCCTAATATTTCTCTGCCTTTTTAAGTAAATGATGGTGAAATAAACCCTTTTTAAGTGGCGCAGGTTTATCACTGCAGATTATACAGTGTTGTAATTCAGTATTTGTCTCTGCTTGCCTGTAGAAAAGATGAGCCAAGATTGGAGTTTTATTCTAGGTAGCCCCTGCTTTGAACTCTTTTTACTTATTCTCCCTATTTGTCAGTCTGTCACCTTCTAATTGTTCTGTTGTTTTTATATATGCCTAAGCTACTGAACGACTGGTTAACCAGTTGCTATGATGCACACTGACCACCAGGGGGCAGATGCTCAACACAGGAGCTGCCCCCTAGTGGTCAGTGCGCTCACACAGCCAACCTCCTGCGGCCCTGACCCCCGGCTGGTTGGCCCCAATGGCCCCGATCTGACCAGCCGACCAACCTCCTGCAGCCCCCATCAGCCCCGATCGCTTGCCAGGCCGAGGGACCCCACCTGTGCATGAATTCCTGCACCAGGCCTCTAGTTTATTATAATAAGGTAAATGAAAGGACTGTGAGAGACTCACAAACAGCTCCAGCTTAGCTCACAAACTGCAGTCACTTTTTATTATTGCTTTCAAGCGTTTTTACACTTGGTTTTTTTTGCAGCTGGATTTGAGGTAACTGGAACTCTAGCTTCCATTTAAGTGGGGTGTAAATCTAAATTTTGCAGAAGAGATAATCCCAGGCTTTATACTCACTCAGATAACACAGGGCTCTAATGATTGTAATGTTTTATGTACATTTCTTTGAAATGGATACATCAACACCTAGCTATTTTATATATTAATAAAATTATATAGGTTTCAACTGTACAATTCTGTACAAACTGATAATGTAGAGAATATTTTTGTAGAATTCCACATCATTTAAAATTATTATTTTCATTTTGGACATGTAAAGATATTCATTCTAGAATCTACTCATCGTTTTTGAAAACTATGTAATGGTAATAGTCACCATTTATTGAGCCCTTTGTATGCATCAATCATTGTGCAAGGCACATGATTACCTTACTTCATCCTCACAGTTCTAAAGGCAAGTGTTAATATTATCTGTTTTAAAGATGGTGTAACTAGACTTCAAAACTAAAATCTATAAGCTAGTTAAGCACAGGAGACCGAATCCATATATTAATCTTGAGAACTTTCTTTAAAAAAATTATTTTCAACTCTCCAGTGATGGTTTGCCCACTATTCCATTAATATTTTTATAATGTTTTTATTGTTGACATATAATTCATATACCATATACTTCATTCTTTAGCAGTCATGCACCCAGTTGATCTTCAATAGCAGCACCCACACCCCCCCCCCCCCCCCCCCCCCAGTCCTAGGCAACCCCTAATCTACTTTCTGTCTCTGTAGATTTGCCTGTTCTGGACATTTCATAGAAATGGAATCATACAATATGTGGTCTTTTGTGTCTGGCTTCTTTCATTTAACAATGTTCATAATTTCATGGTTCATCGATGTTCAGTCCTTTTCATTGCTGAAAATGTTCCATTGCATGGATATATAACACACTTTATCTATCCAGTCATCGTTTGATGGACATTTGCCTCCAATTTTTGGCTGTTATGAGTAGAGCTGCTTTATCCCATTAATATTTGCAACAAACATTTGCAAATATTTCAGAGAGTCAGTGGAAAAATATTAAACTAGGAGTTCTGAAACCTAAGGTCTACTCTAGCTTCGGTAGTAATTCCATATTCACTAAAGGAGATTTGACTAAAATTCCTTTGCCCTACCATAGTCAAAAATTTCATTTTATTTTTTGTCTTTTCAAGTGTGTGGCCTCAGACTGAGTCCTGCAGCAGAAGAAACATTAGGTCATTACAACTATAAGTTCTACACTGCAGCTGGAAATGTAATCCATTTTAACCTCAAATTTTTTTTGTGAGGTTACAGTTGGATAATACTTAAAAGTTCAATTTTACATTGCTCCTCTTTTGATGAAAAGGTGCTCTATTATATCAAATGATAGAAATTGTAATAAAAATTTTAAAAACAACAAACACTGTATTGTACTAAGTAAATATATTCATTTATCCTCATTTTTTATTTATGTCTGGCAGGGAAAGATGTAGTCGTAATTTCTTTCATTTGTCACCACAATCTAAATTCATCTTGCTTCCGCTTTTAAAAGAAAAAAATATTTTTATTGATTTCAGAGCGGAAGGGAGAGGGAGATAGAAACATCAATGATGAGCGAGAATCATTGATCAGCTGCCTCCTGCATGCTCCCATCTGTGGATAGAGTCCTGACCTTGAACCGTGACCTCCGGGTTCATAGGTCAACGCTCAACCACTGAGCCACGCGGGTGGGGCCATCTTGTTTTCTCTTTATACATAAAGAGGATGTTTGAGGATTTAAGGAAATGGTAGTTGACCATTTTTA